CTCTAGCAAGCAAACATAGATTCCACCCAAAAAAGCAAAGATTGGTCAGCATATCTATATAATAAACCAACATATTTTAATCCCAAATAGGCTTATATTCAAAACTTCCATAGTAATAAAATAGACTTCTGACCACTTACTACTAAAAAATTTAAGATAGGCCTGTGTGTTTGTGTACAATGTGTGTGTGTGCTGGATAGAAAAATTGAAAGTAAGCTTCTTATTACCCAACCAAAAAGACATTCCATTAATAAATAGATTACTAAACGTTGTGTTATAGATTTTACCATATGACTGGACAAATTAAGTGCAAACCAGGGCAGTCATAATCAAGAGAAATAAGTAACTTCAATAAGCACTTGCAGGCCAAAAAAAAAGTATTCTCATCATTGTGTTTGTGGGAAAATAATAATGAATTAGATCAAATGCAACTTATCAAATAGCTAACAGAGTTTGAGAGGGACAACTTATCAAATAGCTAGCATGAGTCTACCATACACATACCCAAACCCACCTTCAATAGATCAGTTGAGTAAATATTTAAGTCAAACAAATCCAAATCAAATATATCCATCTCAGTACAGAAATATCACTAACACATACATGTACTTGAATGTGTGCTACTCCTAACAAACTAATAACTTCGAATACAATAAATACGAATAGAATCTACAACACAGAGAAGAAAACACACAAAAACCCAAAAATATCAAATCAATTATAAAAAATAGAACTTCATGCTATAGATGTATGATCTATTAAAGTACAACCGAGTTCAACAAAAAAAAGTCCATCAACTGGTTACCAAACTATGGCAATAGTAATAACGCCAGTCAGCTAATTAGGCAACATTAAACCCAAGAATTAAGAAAGAGAAGATCATAAATTAGGCAGGTTGAAACTGAATACATTTTTGGAATTGATCGAGTAAATAAGCAAACATTTTTAATGGAATTACGCAGTTGAAATACATCAGTTCAGGGGGAAAAAAAAACTGTTCAGGAAAAAAAAACTGTTCAGGAAAAAAAACTGAACAGATGAAAAAAACTGTTCAGGAAAAAAAAAAAAAAGATCATCAAAAGAATCGCAAAATCTCACAAAAGATTAACCCATTTCCAACCCGAATCAGTTGAGATTATTCATTCCAAAAAATATTTAAATCTACATAAGGAAAGAATCTACACTGGGCTGAGCTCGGTAGAAGCAACTCGAATTTATTCATTCCAAATTACTCTCTGTCTTACTCTCAGGCAGGGAAACACCCGAAAAGCTCAATAACTTTTTGCCTCTCACTCTCCCTTTGCCTCAATCACAGTATTACTCTCTCTCTCTCTCTGCGTTTTATGTGTGTGTGTTTCCTTTCCCTCTCGCGCGCATCAGCGCCTAGCCCCAATTTTGTGTCGCCGTCCATGCGGGTTTCTAAATTTGGTTTTGCTTACTAATAAGATAGGACTCATTTTGAATATTTTTCTACTTTAAAATTTAATTTATTTGGAAAAGCATAAGAACGGCTCAGATTAAATCCACTTTTAATTCAAAGGCCCACATTTTCATCTCATTTCTTCCATTTCAATCCAATGGCTTGCAATGCATCTCAACCCAAAAAAAAAATCCCGCCCATTTTGAGCCCAAACACACGCCACCCCCAATTAAACCCTCTGCTCCTCTCTCTCTCTCTCCAATCTGCCATGGAACTAATAGCACAGCCCAGGTATACCCCCTTCTCTCCCTCTCTCTCTTTCACGACCCACAGCACAGAACATAATGATGTGTTCAAGCATCATTATGTTCTGTGCCATTTTTTTTACTTTGCCTATAATGGTTGAACACAGCACATAACATAAAATTAAATTAAGCTCATGATAGAAAGGTACACATCCCATTTGCTCAATGTCCTTACACATCCATCAAATGTCCTTACGCATATAAATATAGAAATTGTATGTTTCAAGGTAAAAGTTAAGCCAACAGGTTAGATTATCTAGTACATCTTGCAAAAAGTACCTAATCATTTTTTTCTTTTGTTTTGGTACATCCAAATAAGTTATTATGAAGAAAGTATTAAAAAGAAAATTAATATTCAATTTTGAGATGGATTTAAAAATGTCAAGAAGTATAAAACCTGAATCATTTCTCTAAGAAAACCCACCAAGAAGGAAAAAACACTGCATTGTTGCTATAATTTCACATGTCCAGATGTAACAAAACACACCCATAGATGCGTTTCGAGTGAAAATCAAGAAATCAGGTGTTTATGTAATCTTGAAGACATCAAAGTAACCATGGTGTCAAAGTGCATAGATGGAATAATTAAGAAAGATCCAGCTTGTGTTACTATGAAAGTCAAAGCAAACCGGTGCACAAAATTACACATGCAATCAATTAAAACGGTCAAACTAAACTTATTAACTTCCATATTCTATGATATATAATTACAGAACCCAAAAACAAAGAAAATTAGAAGAAGAAACAATCATAATTCCCCAGAAAATAGAAGAGAGAGAAAAACAAAATACACAAAAGATTGTGAAATTTTTACTGACAAAGGACACAACAATTTACTCAATTTAAGTCTTTGACAGCTATTTAGTAAATTGATTGGAACTTCTCAATTCTCATATATTTTCCAGGTGAAAATGAAAATGTAAATTATAAAAATTCTCTCTCTTATTTTCTTTTGAAACCCCCAAAACTTGGGAAATTTTGGTATTTTGTTTCTGCCAATGACACGACAAACAAAACAAAGAAATTCCCCAAAGCTAACGATATAACCAACAGAAAAGAAACTTCCTGGCTCTGTATCAAGTAGAAAAATTCCTTACTCCTTACACAAAATTAACCTAAATTCAAAAACCCAAACACATATTACTCCTTACCCCCTATCTCTCTCTCTCTCTCTCTTACGCTCCAGCCACACCACCGCCACTTCGTCAGCAACACCACCGCCACTGCTAACCCCTCCCAAGTATGCATTGTCTCTCTCTCTTTCTCACACACACACACAAGCACACACTAACCCCCATATCTTCTCTGCCCTCTTCTACTCAACATCACCCAACACTTCTCTCGCTCACACACAATCACATTGCACACGCACACCCACAGCGCACAATACACACATACATACTCACCACCCACACACAAATCGCACACACACAAACAAACCCAGCACACACACCCAACACAGACCCAGTATACACGCACCCACATCACACCCACTCACACCCACTCACCCACTCACCCAGAAACAAACACCCACACCCACTCACCCCACTCACCCACACACACATCACAAACAGACCCACCCACACCAATTGTTTGTTGGAATGACCGAGAGAAATTTTGTGTACTCTGCCATTGAATTTTAATTGATTTACACTTTGTTTGATTTAGCTTATAATGTGTTGAATTAGCTTATATTCAATCTAAAGTGATTTTTGAAGTTTAGAAATTATTGGTTGGGACCCCTGAGTTTTGTTTCCTTCTGAGGTCAAGGTCTTTCCTATACTGGATGCCTCTTTTCTCCTTTCTAGAAAATGCAAAAACTCAATTCGGTTTCTGTAGCTTTCTGCAATGATCAAAACTCTTAGATTTTGTTTTAGCAGAAATGATCATTTTCGACTTCAGCTAGAGAGAGAGGTGGGTATGTTTAATTTGCTGTGGGTCGTGAAAGAGGGAGAGGGAGAGAGAGATAGAGAGAGAGGTGGGTATACCTGGGCAGGCCACTTCAGGTCGTGAAAGGGGGAGAGGGAGGTATCTGGGCTGAGCTTGGTGAGCCGCTGTGTGCCGCTGTGTTGAACGTCGTTGGTGTCGTTGCTGTGTTGATCGCCACTGTGTGCCGCTGCTGAGCCGGTGTCGCTGCTGTGTGCCGCTGCTGAGCCGTTGTGAGAAGGGTGTGGGTAGAGGGGTAAGGGGTCTGGGTTGCTGTCTGGGGTGAGGCATGGCAGAGGAAATGGGTATGTAGGGAAATGGGTGAGGCATGGCGGAAGACAGAGAGTAGCTGTAGGGGAATGGGTTTGATTTGAGGCAGAGAGTAAGTAACTGTGGGCGTGTGTTTGGGTTAAAAATGGGCGAGATTTTTTTTTTGGGTTGAGATGCATTGCAAGCCATTGGATTGAAATGGAAGAAATGAGATGAAAATGTGAGCCTTTGAATTAAAAGTGGATTTAATCTGAGTCGTTCTTATGCTTTTTCAAATAAATTAAATTTTAAAGTAAAAAAAGATTCAAAATGAGTCCTATCTTATTAGTAAAGATGTCTGTATACTAAAATCAAATGTAAAATCAAATGTAAGAGGGTATAAATGATACTTACCCTAATATATTAGCTCTTCGTTCCTTCTCCCGGCGAAGCTGGTTTTGGCGAGCGACCAAAGCAAACGCAAACGCAAACGCAAACGCAAACGCCTACGCCTCTCTCTCTCTCTCTCTCTCTCTCTCTCTCTCTCTCTAGAGCTGTGTTTACGAACTCGAGAGAATCAAAGAACGCATACAACGAGAATCAATATCTGAAAATTGGAAAGATAAATGTTGAATTCTTTTCACACAGGTTCGATTTTATATTAATATATATATGCACATGTATTCACTCACTAGTGTTTTGAATTAGGTTCCTACAGCTCAGGTAGGTTACCATTTGTGTGTATTTTTAAGTTTTTGATTAAAAAGAACATGGTTGGCTAGGAATTTGGAACTTACTGAGGCTTTAGTATTTGGTTACATACTTATAGAGGTCTGTGTGTATTTGGTTGTGTCAACCCTTTCTATGTTGGCTTCGGCAAACATCTGATAAGTTTGTTGTCGTTGTTTTTGGAATCATATCTGATGGGTATGTTTGATTTGGTTAAAAATGTTGATTGGAGTTGTTCCCTTTTCATTGTTGCTTAGGTTATTGTTTGGGCACTGGTTAATGAACTGAATTTTAGGGGACTAAGAGCAGGTTCTTAGTCCCCGGCAAAGCGAATGAGTTGGAATTTGGGCCAAAGCGTGTAAGTCGAGATAATGAGCATTAGACTTCACAACCCGTTTATTGGGGCTGCACCTCCATGCTGTGTAAATGGAAGACTTAATCGCAGATCAGTTTATGGGGACAAAGTAAAACTACCCAAAGATTTTTTTCACAAGTGTACATGTGCAAATAAAAATAATTGGATTCCTCACGGGATCAAACTGTCTCATTTTTGTGGTAGAAATGTAGAGCTATTATGGAGGAGCAGTTTGATGGTGAAATGTGTACAAGAACCTTTTGCTCGTAGTAAAGCTCTGGTTAAATCATTGTCTCCATTGTGGGAAGAGGGGTTATTTATAGTCCGGTGCTCTATTTTCTGTGCTGTGATATCTGGGGTGTGCTTGTTGGTATGGTATGGGCAGTCGAAAGCCAAAAGTTATGTTGAAGCCAAGCTTCTGCCTTCTGTATGTTTGACACTAAGTGATTATATACAACGTGAACTTGATTTTGGCAAAGTTCGAAGTATTTCACCTTTAAGCATTACCTTGGAATCGTGCTCAATTGGGCCTCATAAGGAAGAGTTTTCCTGCGGGGAGGTCCCCACAGTTAAACTACGGGTTCTTCCGTTTGCGAGTCTAAGGAGGGGAAAGATTGTGATTGATGCTGTTTTGTCTAATCCAACTTTGTTGATTGCTCAAAAAAAGAATTATACTTGGTTAGGAATACCCTTCACCGATGGCATTGCACAGAGGCACTTGTCAACTGAAGAAGGAATTGATTATCGGACGAAAACTAGGAGAACTTCTAGAGAGAAAGCAGCTGCTCACTTTGTCCAAGAGAGAGATGATGCAGCTAGGAAAGCTGCAGACAAGGGTTATGTTGTTGCTGATGGAGGTTCCATTCCATTTGGGGTTGATGTTCTGAAGGAGAATGCAAGCCCTCCGATGAGGTTAGTAACCTCAGAGCCTTTCTTTTGCATGGATGAGAAACTGCACTGGCGAGATCATCACTGCATGGATGCAGGTGTGGAGTATGACTTAAAACATGCAGATTTAGAGAAATCGTTTGGCGTAAGGATTCCAGGCTCTGGATTTAAATTTTTGTCTGGATTTATACCGGGCCCCCTAAGGCATAAATTTAAGAGGAAGCCTAATGGGAGAGATATATCCAGAGCTGGTATTACAGCTAAGAGAAGAATTCTTGAGCGTAGTGCATCAGCAGCTTGTGCGTACTTCCGTGGTCCGTCTCCTGGGATAGGGGATCATATTCAGTCATCTGGAGGTTCTGAAGTTTTGAATCTTGAGACTCTTCTTGTGAGAGGTGAGAGTAATCCTACTGCCTCTGTTTCTGCAGTTGCTAGCTATGACGAAGATATGGGAGCTGATGATCAGGATGGGCCACATAATCTTGGTGAGGGCGACAATTGTAAGAATGGAGAGTTTGAAGCTGCAGTCGATTATTCAACTAGTAAGGGAATGTCAGACCCGGGGAACAACATGGGTAATGATCTTGAAGGTGGAGAAAATTCAGGAATCCAACTTTTTCCTGAGGGGAAACATTCTAGTTATCATGTTAGTAGTTTCAGTTGTATTCGTGATCCCTTTCTTTTCACTCTATGTAGACTAAGTGCAGTTAGAAATTCCAGGGAAAGATTTTCCTTTGGAAGTGGTGTTGTGGGAGCTGCAAAAACCAACAGTTGTGATGTAAATATTGAATATTTAGGAGTTGATACAGGTGTTGATTCCAGAGGTGTATCCAGCAGAGTGGGAGGGGAGATGCAAGAGTCTTGTTGTAATACATCAGTTAGTCAAGGAGGTCATGCGTCTGAAGATTCCAAATTCTTGAAGCTTGACTGTTCATCTGCACTTGATCACTCAAAATATACTGGGTCCTTGAGCCTCAAATCAGGTTTATCTTTTTTGCATAGAAGCATGGGAGAACTGTGGTCTTATCTACTTGCTGGTCCTGTTCAAAGGCTGAAGTCAGATATGGGTTCAAAAGTTGAAGATATCGTCACAGAACTCGTTGATGGGCTAGGCGAAGAGCAGACTTTGGGCATTGAGAAAATGCTTCCAGTTACTCTTGATACTGTCCATTTCAAAGGCGGAACATTGATGCTACTAGCATATGGTGATACGGAGCCTAGGTGAGCTTGATTTCTGTTCCACTTTTTATTTGTGTTCATTTCGGTGAGGATTATTATTTCTTTTCTTTTAAGATACTGTATGCTTGGTTTTAAACACTAGAATTGTATATGCATGGGTCGATAAGCTGGAAGTGAGTTTCAATTCTAATTTCTGAAGGCAGCTGCTTTTCTTGAAAAAGCTGGTTGTGAGATTTGTACCAATTCACCTTCGAAGCAACTAAGCCGGTTAATGGATCAGATTTTGATCCGAATCCAATCCGATTAACCGGATATGGATGAATAATTTTTACCGATTATTCGAATCTGAATCCGTTATGTTTTATTTAATGGATTTGGATATATTAAATCCGATCCGAATTGTATATATACCTTCTATTTTTATATTTTATATCCCGTGAGTGAATATCTACCGACATCTTTTAATCTCTCACATTATTTTCCTACTATCTTCTTCCCTATTTATAACAAAAATTAAGGTTGACATATTTAGTGTATGTTGCTTGTTAAGGCTTCAAATGAGTAAGTATTATAATTTTTTTCGGGAGTTGAATTTGTTACAATTTGTGATATATTTTGTAGTTTGATTTTACTTTGTACATAAACGGATTGAATTAGATCTCCGGATTGGATATTCGAAAGTTAATGGATTCAGATATGGATTAAAAATTTCAAATCCATCGGATAATCGGATCGGATCACGTAAATTGTAATTGGGTTTGGATTCGGATGATGATAAAATCCTGTCCATTTCCAATCCGTTGACAGGGCTACGAGTAACCAACCAATGACAGGATCTGCCTTGTGCAATGATCGTGGCACAAGGAGCTATTTCTGAGGCTTGAACTGCTTGAACATCGGGCTGCTCTTGCTGCCCATGATGCAAAAGATACACTATCATAAGCTTTAGACGTAGAATAGGATATTTATGGGCCGACAAGCTGGAGGTGGGGTTTGACACTGATTTCTGAGGCGCAGCCACTTTTGTACGAATAAGCTGGAATTTGTACCCATTCACTTTTGAGCCCCAACCAATGACGGGATCTCCATTATGCAATATTTTCAGCATTAGGGTCCATTTCACAGGTTGAACTGCTTGGACATCAGGCTGCTTTTGATGCCCATGATGCACAAAGAGACAGATAATTCCGTCTATGTAGCAACCGACTGCAGCTTCATTGACTGAATGACCTGGTGCCTCTACCTTTATAGGTTCCTGGTGCTGGCTGCTCTCTTAAGTAATTTCCTATTAAATCCTAACGTAAGCATAATATTTGCAAGCCAAATAAGTTGTTTGGATCAAGTTTATGTAAACATAGAGCACACTAAGCATTTTTATGCAATTCAGCTCTGGACTTAATAATTTTCCTGGTAAATGAAGTTGCAGTATGGCCCAATTCAAAGCAGGGATCTTGTTCATACTTTTTCTTTTCTGTTGTAGTTCAGTAGATCAATAACGACTAACATCTGTTACTCAATCTTAAATCCTGAGTAATATGTACTGTTGTACAGGATGAGGCTTAAGTTTTTTTATTGTTTTTGTTAGGAGATGAATGCTTGTATTTATAAATGTGATATGCCTTATTTCATGCCTTCTTGTTTACTTTTTACACATTTATAGAGAGATGGAGAATGCCAATGGACATGTAAAGTTTCAAAATCACTATGGGCGTGTGTATGTCCAGCTGAGTGGCAGCTGTAAGATGTGGGGATCAGATGTGGCATCTGAAGATGGTGGCTGGTTGTCATCAGATGTTTTTGTTGATATTATGGAGCAGAAATGGCATGCCAATTTGAAAGTAGTGAATCTCTTTGCTCCGGTAGGGTACACAGTGAATACCATTACATGGGACCCTCTTTTAGTTTGTTTTCGCTTTTCGGCATTAGAGACTGTGAATTTGCTGTCTGCCACTTAAGTTTTATGGATTGTTTATGGGCTTTGGATGCTGTTTGTATTTTGTGCAGCTTTTTGAAAGGATTTTAGAAATTCCAATCATGTGGTCTAAAGGGAGAGCCAGTGGTGAGGTGCCTTTCCAACTTTAATTTCTTGCACAAATTTTATCAGAGAATCATATCAGCCCTTGGAGCATAATGAACTGGGATCTTCCTACATTTAAGCTGTCATATTACTTGTCTGGAATTTAAATGTCATGAGCTGCATTGTGATTTGATTTTTGAATGTCTGGTTCTGGATTTCCAACTCTTTTGACTGGTATATTGTCCTCAACTCCTCATGAGGACTGCTGTTATATTCTTCTGATCCTATTGCGGGCTTACACCACTGGAAATAGATAATTTTGTTATTTTTTTCAGAATGCTTTACCCTTTTAATTAAATAATTTTGAAACAAGTTGGGGGATTCGTTGGGGTTTTCCATGGTTATCCGTTAGATACCCAAGATATCGGTGTTGCTTTAATAGGTGGGGAGACATCTTTGATTAAAAAATGGCTGCATAGATGCACGTGGGAAATTTTCTATTGTGAGGACCATTAGTATGGTGTAACTCTTGATGGTAATGCTATCATCGTAGATATGCTGCCAAGATCTGTCTTGGGCCCACTTCGGCCTTAACTATTTGGAAGGCATGATTTACCACAGGCTCAAGTTAACCCAGCTGATATTAAAAAACTTGGATCCCATGACAGCCAAATATTATTGATAATAATGTATATTCAATATTTTGGGAAATTTTTGTATATAATATTTTTCCTTTGTTTCTTAGCCATAGCATTATTGGTGTGTCTTGGGGTTTTTGCCAACATTACTGTCAATATTTGATGGTAAACAGATTGAGCTGATGAAAAGAAAAAATGGAAAAAGGAGATGCCGGATTCTTGCAAGGAAACGAGGAAATGTTTAAAGACAAATGAACCACAGTTCATCAGGCCAATAAGGCTATTAAGCAATCTTTCCAACCATCAATAGTTTTGATCTGTAAGCATAAGGCAAGTTTGGCTTTGAGATATGCATTAATTAACTTTCTTGTATGACATAGTAGATGCCTGATTCCTGTAGGGAGTTGTTGGACTGTTGAAGGGGGAGCTGCCCAAGGAGGGGGATGTGGGCGTTGTGGAATTTGATTTATTTAGCATTATTTTGTCTGTATGGAAGTTAAGGAATAGAAGGATTGTTGAGGGCACAAAGATGCCCATCGATAGGTAATATCAATAACTATTGTATGTTTCATTTATTGGATGGAAGGCTACTACCCTTTGAGCTTAGTCCTATTCTTAGAGTTTTTTTAGGAGGTATGGATCTTGGTTACCTATAGTTAGTAAGTGATGCTCCTGTAGCATCCAAGTCACTTTTAGTTGTCAAAAATGAATCGGCTTTCTGTAACTTCCAAACTATATAAATTCTGTCTTGAAATTCAGGGTGTTGGTCTAATAACATTATTTATTGTCTTCTGAAGGTATGCCATGCTATATAATAGTGTCTCAAGAAGTCTTCGGAATGTATTTCACTTGAACGTATTGACATGCTCATTGTGTTCTTTGGACTGTTCATTGGATCACAGAACAAACATTTAGGTTCTGATTTCTTGGTTTTTTCTGTTTAGTAATGCATATTCACTTTCCTCGTGCGGGTACTTAATATGTTTCATAAATAGGATCAATTCTGCATATTTTTTTGCTAACCAGGAACTTGCATGTTTCAGGTTCACATATGCATGTCAAGAGGAGAGACTTTTCCTAATCTTCATGGACAGCTTGATGTGACAGGGTTGGCTTTTCAAATATTTGATGCTCCATCATGGTTTTCTGTATGTTCTAGTTTCATTTTTTGAAATTGTGCCATGCTTGTGTCTTCTCTCTCCCCAAAAATCTATCTTCTACTGTATCTATTAGTACCACATTATTGATGGCTATGCAAGAACATTACTTTGTTTGGCAGAAGGTTGCGATGTGTTAAAATCACTCAGTTAATTTCATGTCATTACTTCTATATATCCTCACTTGCCTAGGTAAATAGACATTATTTTGTAGTGATTTGATGACTAGGGGATGTTTGGTGGCATAAGTGTCTCTTAGTTCTTCCAGGGATTTGTCAGTTCGTTGAGGTAGAGGCATGAAGCTAAGAATGCCTCTCTGATGGAATTATTATAACTGTAATTCTTTTATGGATTTTTCATAACTTCAGTATCTTTGTTAACATTAAGCAGGTTCTACGTATGTACGTGACTTCCAGGATGTGTGCCTTAACAAATTAGCTGTGTAATCTATATGCTTGAAGAAGATGCTGATGATGGGTTTTCTTTGGATTGCATAACCACCAATTTATGTTATAAGGTTACCTTAGGGATTGCAGTTGTAATGATGAAGATGAAAGGGAAAACGTTGGTGCCGTAGTGTCACTGAGCAGAGAGTAGGTAAGGAAGTACATGGAAGAAGACGTGTCTGGATGGCTTGACTGTGTTGCTGCATTAAGGTTGGAACTAGGATTCACATTTGTTTCCTTGACTTTATTATGCAAGTAATACATACCTCCATGAGGGATGCATAAAAGAGAAAAGGAGCAGAAGAGAAAGAATGGTAGAAGGAAGAATTAGAGAAATAAAGAGAAGAAGAAGATGGACAGCAGAGGGAAACAGATACACAAGGACCGAGAAAAGTCCATTTCTTTCCCAAACAATATGCCAAATGCAAAACTAAATCTTCCTTACATAAGTCAAGGCTAATATTTTATGGACAATCCCTTGAATCACCCAATCTAAAAATTACATCAAAATAATGATGATAATATTTTCATTCCTAAATTAAGAAAATAAACCTTATATGTCCTAATAATATTTAAATTTCTAAATTAAGAAAATAGTCCGAGTGGGATAAATGATATGGATCATGTTAAGCACACTCTGTCCGTCATGTCTCACCATCCCATAGTTTGACCATCTCTTCCTTTAGGACATCATCTCACTTCAGTGGAAAAGAAAAGTTAGGGTACAGACAATGAATGACTGATATTTTTTTTGGGTGAATCTATTGATTGGAAAATATATTGCTTAGTTGGTGAATAATCTCTACTACTTTTAAGAGAAAGCTGGGATTCAAGATTTAATACACAATTATTAAATCTTTGTTGGGTGGCTCCAAGATCTATATTATCTATGATTTGTTTGGACTTTATGGGTTTAGGAGGAAGTGGAAGTGGGAAGACTCTTTGGCATAATGCTCTTTTTGCGACAATTTGGGTCCTATGGATGGAGAGAAATGCGAACATATTTGAAGACAAATGGGATGATGTCAAGGGTTTATGGGTTCGACACTTTTTTTTTTTGGCATCCATGACAAGGGACTTTGATAATATTCCTTTATTTAGTATCACGGTGAGTTGGAGGGCGTGTGGATTATAACTTGGATTCAATTATCAAGCTTTTTGTTTTTTATTTTATATTATACTAATCATTTGGTTGGACGACTTGTCCACTTTTGATTGATTCTTGCATTACTGTTTTTATTTCAGTTATTAATAAAATTGATGTTTCTTATCGAAAAAAGAAGATTTAATACACAAGTCCTTGTTGAAAAAAAAGCTTTCTTCCAAGCCCCCATTTCCTTTTCCATAATTAGGTACGCCCAAAACTAGGTTGGAGCTATGAAGTCCCTCCTTCATCTGGTGCACAGGTTTGGAAGGATTCCATTCAATCGCGGGTCGGCTTGCTTTTGGAGCAGGAGAGGGTGCCAACGACATCTGGATGCTGTGAGGGCGGTGTGGATGGAGTGTTAGTCTTGCTGTGTTCCACCGCTTAGCCTTACCATTTCTCTGTTTCTAGTTCTAGCAGGAATGAATGAATCAGCAGAGGCTGATTCTTTTCCTTGGGTAACCCACTGGAGCCACTGATATGCATTTGTCTTATTCTTCTTATTATTCATCCCATTAGTTGCATGGTCCACCTGTTAGGACTTAGTAAGGAAATATTCCTGAAATTAATGCCTACATTCTAATCTTCCAACCAAAAGCTTCATCCAATCCTTTTGCGTTCCCAATCAGTTCTTCATGACTGAAGAAAAAAATTATGGTAAAGGAACCAGGTCATGCTGGTGAAGCACAACCTCCACAATCCAAGTAATATGTAAACTGTCTATCCAGTGATGTAGTGCTATGAATGACCAAGTGGGAAATCATCATGCTGTCTCTCTCCAATCTCATTCATGCTACTGCAGAAGTTTAGAAATTAGTGTTGGACATGTGATGACCTCACCTGTAAGGTGCCTGCAAACAATAGAGAAGTTTGAAAAAGTTGTGGACTAGGTTGGATAACATTGTCAAGCAATTTCCCCTACGATTTGACTGCCTGTATTCATTCCACGTGGTTGGCCATTCATTCTAAGTTTTCTAGAGGTTTATATCTTTTTTGCACTATGCTCCATTCAAGATTTAGTGGAATTACCTTTGGCCATAAAGATGCGAAAACTGTTCGAAAGTCAATTGCTGCACATTCTCTGTGATTATTTCTGTTGTCCAAAAATTAGTTCAGGCTTGTAATGTTATGTTTACAACCATCTCTGTTGTCCATTATGTTAAGTTTGCTTCTTGAAATAATTCTTATCACCAATTTGGAAGAGCTCTATTTTGGGATTTTTGCAGGACATTTCTGCAAGTTTATGTTTTCGTGCTCAACGAGTGTTTTTACACAATGCAAGTGGCTGGTTTGGTAATGTCCCTTTAGAAGCGTCGGGAGATTTTGGCATTGATCCAGAGGAAGGAGAGTTTCACCTGATGTGTCAGGTAGTGTTGCTTGATTCTTTCTTGTATTAGTAGCTTTAGGCATTGCTGGCTGTCTGTAATGCTAAGAATGAAATCAGTCCATTACTCCATGTTAGATGGGGAGTAGTAGCATTTCCGTAAATTGAATTGGTGTTTCCTCTGTCCATTTTTGTGCGAATGTTGGGCTTGATTGAGAGAGGATACTTTAGTAGAGTTTAAGCTGTGTCACTTAAGCTTGGTGAATACTGTCAGTTGACACCCATAACCTTCTATATGTCATTGATAGAGATCTTATGTCAGTAGAGTCCTGTCTTGGCTTCACAATAGATTTTTTGCTGCTCTTTTTCTTTAAATGGCTTGTTTGTTCCCCTGTTTTCCCCCTTTTTTTTTTTTTTTTTTTTTTCTGGTTATCACCTTACAAGGCAAAAAGGAAATGGTTAGGCATTTTGGTGGAGTTTGTCGGTTGGTAAATTGACATAACCTGTCTTCTAAATTTCAAAAATGTTTTCAGTTTGACTTGTATGACATGGAAGTTCAATGGAGTCTACTAGGGAGTTATATCCGTACTTACTGAATTTTTAGATTTTCTCATTCTATGCCTTGGTTTCACAACAATCAATATCTTTCATCTCAATAGTGCAGCTAAGGCAGAATCCGTATAGCCTGTATAATATTAGTACCAAGGAACCAAGTTATACCTATGTTGTCCTTTTAGCTGGTGTTTTGCAGTTGCAGGTTGTCTTGTTGACTGAGATTTCCTTTATGACAGTGAGACTGTTTCTTGTAAAGACTCCAAATTAGAAGCAGAAAAAAGACCGCGTGTATGACTCTGTTTTTCGTGTGTGTGAGATTATATAGTGAGCAGCTTCTTATGTAAAATTTTGCAACAGAATTATTGTATTAGCCAAAAAGATCATGTGTTGCAGTCAAATTATGGTTTATGAGTCAAAAGAATTCCCTTGGATTTGAAACTGGTCTATGTGATGCATGATAGCCAGTTTTGGAACGGTTAAAGGAAACAAAAATTGGAGTTGAAAGCAAGAAGGCGGCAACTGTTAAGGCTGAAGAAAGTAGGTAAGCTGCCAGGGGTAGTTAGTTTTGAAAATGTTTGATAGAATCGAACAAAAGGCATCTTAAAACATAAAAAATTGCCAAGCAGCATAGGTAAATCCTCACAATATTTATCTATTTTAGATGTTGGTTTTGGAAGTGGTCTGCTTAGCCATTGTGTAATTAAAACCTTAAATTAGTGTTGGGAAGGAAACCAATGTTAAGAAGAGAGAATAAAAAAAACAATAGTTTGGAAGGGGTAACTTAACATTTCCAATAGGAACGTGTTGTTTAAATTTTGAATGCAGGAGACATGGGGAGTGCAATAAGGGCTCGAAATGGTGTGTTTGTTTGCCTCACTATCTGTGTTACTTTTTATTCCATTATGATCAGTGTAGGATTATTCCTTCTACAGGTTCCCTCTGTTGAAGTAAATGCCTTGATGAAAACGTTCAAGATGAAGCCTTTGCTATTTCCGGTATGTGCAATATTTTTCTTAAAGCTTCTGGTCTGAGTCTTGAGATTTATGAGCGATGATGCCTTGTATGCTGTTTTAAAAATTATTATGCATCTATTTGAGGAGTAAAACTTCCTGCTATCCTGAGTTTGGAGTTTGGTTACATGCTGTCAATTGTAAGAGTCTTAAATAACTCTCAGCATAAACTTCGTTTTGAGCAATGATTATGAAGCAGTATGCTACAACTTTAGAATTAATCACCCAAGTGCAGGTTGTGCGAAGTAATAAATTTCTCGGGAATCGGATATTGAACCACAGGGAATTGAGAAAACTTAAAACGCAATAAAAAAATAAAAGAAAATTTGATTTGAAAAGTATTTAGAGAAATTTATTTGTTCAAAAGAACAAAAGTTATTTGAATAAAACCAATAATTGAAATATTAAAGCATTAGGATACCCTTTCAAATCCACACGACAATTATTAATAATTCAGTTTTCGAACTCAATTGAGATTCAGCTGAGGAGTAATTCCAATCGCAATATTTAGCGGTGATAATATGAAAACATCAAAAGTTATAATTAATGAATTATTTGGATAAATATAAGAATTTACTTGTTGATTACACACATTCACCATGCTCGGAGTCTTACGATAAACCAAGCTTTCCAATAGGTAAACCTTATTTTATTACAAATAATAAATCAACTATTTTATGTGAAATTCTAATTAATTAATTCAAGCATGGAATAACCGGTTATTTGACTCGTAGGGAATCTCAAGCATTCGATGTACCTGACACAACAAATCAAGAAATTATACAAAGCAAAAATTTTACTAAAAGATAAGAATTAAATTAAAAAAATTAATCATGTATTAAAAGAACATTGAATCAACAATAAATATCGTGTTTCATTGAAAGTATTTCCCTAATTTTAGTTGGGTTTTTCTCAAGCTAGAGAATTAGAACAAAAACTAGAAAAAAAAAATGGGAAGAAATTAATAATCTTAATCATCCTCTCTCAATAGGTGAGAGTTTTTATTTATACTAATATAACTTAGGTATAAGTAGGAGATTTAAGATTGGTTTGGGAAGAATTTTTTTTCAAAAAAAAGTCTTTTAAGGTTAAATCCCGTGCATAAAATCTTAGGGGCGTGGATACAAAATATGTTCAGACGTCAAGCTTGAATTTTGCATATTTAGAGGCCGATTCACGAAATTTTCGTGAAATACACTTTTGTAGCTCATGAAGTCTTCTTTCTAACCCCACAAAAATCAGGTCAATCGAATATCGGAGTCAAAAGTGATGACCAAAATACTGAAGATGTGTCAACTCCTTATCTTCTAGGATACTTTTTTAATCCAACTTTAAATGAGTTTTCTTCCAACTTGAACTCTTATAAGGTTAAATTGTTGTCTTATCTTGATTCTTCAATCCTTATCAATTGTGATTCTTCCTCTAGCGATTGCTTCACTTGCTTTATCCATTATTATTTTAAATCAATCAATTTACCTGCAAAATAAATCAAACAATCAGAAAAAGTATCAAACTAGAAAATTAAAGAATTTAACACATTTAATCACAAATAATATGCAATTAACCAATCTTTAAATATAATAAAATAACACTTTTGATGGTTAATCACAGTGATATGAAATTATCTGAAAAATATAGAATAAAAACCATAATATAAAACGAATAACATGAAAATCATTTTACATCTATCCTTTGGTGACCATGGCTCGATAGTCTAGAAGCTATAATATGCTGAAAAATTTTACCTGCTTGCTCAGAATTCAATTATATGAGTGGAGAATGCATACAACTCCATTGAAGTCTTTGAAATGTTTCTATTAGGGGAGGCCCAAGTTGATAGCAATCATTTAAGTTCTCAAGAGCCACTTAATATTTTGGAGCGTCACAACCATTGTCGTTTAACTACGTGACGTTTCCAATGTTTTTGATCAGCAGAAACTGGGAGTCTGTATTAGTAGATTGTGTTACTGCCTTTCATTGGTGTAAAATTCCAGATTCATTGGAAACAACGGAGTTGCCATCACTATTTCAAATAGCAACTATTCTGCCTCCTTACCATCCGTATTAGGAGGACATATGTGTTTGCATCTTTCAAAATATTCCGTTACTTTTCCTTGATCTTAAAGATGTTTTGTGCAGCTTTCCTCATTCTCAAAGATTTTCTGCTTATTATGTAAGGTGGTCCTGCTGATAATATTTGTTTTCATTGTAGTTCAAGTTGCTGAGTCAGATCTGGGAAACATAAACCCCATGGCAAGGCCTATGTATTAGACCTTTTTTTTTTAATATGGTATATTAGACATAGACTATTAGTGTCAGGATGTGAAGAATCGGGTAAGTTTGGAACATGATGGAGAATACAGCCAAGATACACTAGGGTTACATTTAGAAAATGTCGCATTTTTATTGTGGAAGTGTTGGAAAACATTTGTATTTAAATAGAGTCAAACTAAAACTAAGAGAAACTATGGAGAAGACGCTTTCACGTTAAAACTGTAAGTTAGGATGAAGTAAAAAATTGGAAAAGGGAAGAGAGAGAAGAAACTAGCAGTGTTACCTTCGACCACCTTTGTCGTCTTCTGATGGGTTTCACAGTCTGCAGATAACATGCCCATTATGTTAAAGCTTAAAAGTCCTTATCCCCTCTTGTTAAATTTTTTCTTCATTTCTAGTCTAGTGACTTTGTCATGTCATCATTCAATAATGTTGCAAAATTGAATAATATTTGAGGTTTTGAGCGAGAGAGTTGGTAATGTAGTTCGTTAGAGTTTGTGAGAATCTATAAATTTAAAAATCTTTATACATAAATTATATTATTGAGCTCACACATGTCTGTCCTACTTTTTGTGAAATTTTGTGTTTTGTCCATGTTGCATTGTTTCTATATCACGTGTCTATATCCATGCTTCTCAAGCTGAGATAACCAGCATTTTTTGCATTGTTTTTATATATTAGATTTCAATGATGAATTTGCCCTTGTTTTGCTCTTCTTATCTGTCTCACTTTCCTTTCTTTCTCCACTGCAGTTGGCTGGTTCGGTAACAACCGTTTTCAACTGTCAAGGCCCCTTGGATGCTCCTATATTTGTCGGAAGTGGATTGGTTTCAAGGAAGATAACTCTTTCAGTTTCTGATATTCCTGCGTCTGCTGCATATGAGGCAATGTTGAATAATAAAGAGGCTGGTGCGGTGGCAGCAATTGATCGTGTTCCATTTTCTTATATTTCAGCCAATTTCACTTTTAACACTGATAACTGTGTAAGTTTGTGACGATAACATGGATATTTCAAAATATTGAGCTTCAGTTTCCTTTTTTTGTTTGGGAATTTGTGTATTCTTGTGGAATTTATCTTGCATTTGACAGGTTGCTGACTTGTATGGAATCAGAGCTAGCCTTGTTGATGGTGGTGAAATTCGTGGGGCGGGTAATGCATGGATATGCCCTGAGGTATTTAGTCCTATATGGGATAATCTGTCTTGCTTGAAGAGAATTAGGATGCATCTAGTACCCTCATTGTGGGGGAGAGAGTGAGTGCAGTTTTTGCTTCTCGATAGACGATAATTAAGTTTTCCAAATCTAAGATCAGCCACTATGTCCATGTAGTGCCTTTTGGCCCATATAATCCAGGTTGTTCAAATTCATGGCTTGGATTGAAGCGTGATTTTTAATTTTCTGTGCTATGAGGAGATAATGAATTAATGCTCGGAATCATGTTATGTAAGCTTTCTATTTGAGATTTTCTGTAAAGGGGGCTTAGGGTGTGCATATATTCCTTTGAAACATGTCTGTCCGAATCCCATTAACAAAGAATCAAGTTACAGTTACTGGGATGAAATATTGTTTGTATCATATGAATGTACTTGTTTTCTCTTGGAAGAACTTACTGAATGAAATATTATTTGATTCTCTTGAAAAGGATATTTGAATATTGTGGGTATTAGGGCATGATACAAGTCTGAAAGAATTTAAGGAAAATTGCCACTAAATCTTACTTTGTACTGGCCCTGGGACAAGGTCCACTATTATATTGCCTCTTTGCTCCTTACATTGTAATTGTATGCTATTTAGTTTATTTCTTGAATGGATAAGTGGAGACATGAAAAAATTGAAGAAAGAAGTCTTGCATTTAAGGCAATAACATGTTTTTGTATAGTTTCAGTCCTTTCCCAAAATTATATGTAGGGCTTGTTTGATACTTCTCTTTCTTTTTTCCTTTTTCGTTTTTTGGTTGTAGCAATATTTCTTAGTAATTCTGCTTACTTCAATAGAATATATGTAATCCTGTTTCTTTAACCACGTGGGCTCGTGTGTGTGTGTTCCAGTCTTGTACCAATGCTGGACCATCACGTAATTTTGTGAAGCATGTCCCTTGTTTTGATTCTTACGGTTTTTTTTTTCTTGATGCATTTCCTTTCCATAATGTGGTTGTTCAATAACGGGCAATTGGTTGGCAAATGTAACGCGCATTGCCGCTCTTTCATTAATCACATGATGGAATAATGATATGTTGCATATTTTTGACTTGAGTCTCTTTCTCTGTCCCATAGTTGAAAACTTTACTCTTGCAGGGTGAGGTTGATGACACAGCTATGGATGTCAACTTTTCGGGGAATATAGGCTTTGATAGAATTATGCATCGATATCTGCCTGCTTATTTTCAACTGGTGCCTCTTAAATTAGGGGAATTAAATGGTGAAACAAAACTTTCTGGATCCTTATTGAGACCGTAAGATTCCTGGTCTGGTCTTTCTAATTGTGATAATGTCATTGGTCCTTGCAAACAATTTTATCTGCAGAATTTTATATCTCAATTTTATAAGGATTGAGGTGGGCTAATAGACCTTATTATGACTCTAGGAGGTTTGACATTAAATGGACTGCACCAACAGCTGAAGGATCACTTACTGATGCTCGAGGAGATATCATAATTTCACATGATTATATTACAGTTAGTTCTTCGTCGGCTGCTTTTGAATTGTATACCAAAGTTCTAACATCTTATCAGGATGAATACCCGTCAAACCAGAGAGAGTATGATGTGAGGGCTGCAGTTCCATTAACTGTTGAAGGAGTCGAATTGGATTTAAGAATGCGTGGTTTTGAGTTATTCAGCTTGGTCTCTTCATATGCTTTTGATTCTTTAAGGCCTGTGCATTTGAAAGCAGCCGGAAGGGTTAAGTTTCAAGGAAAGGTTATTAAGCCTTTTAGCATCACTGATGAGGAAGTCTTGGGTACTGAGAAGAATATGGAAGATGTGCAAATGGAAGGTCATAGGGACACCCAAAGTCTTGTGGGTGAGGTTTCAATCTCAGGTCTTAAACTGAATCAGTTGATGCTGGCACCTCAATTAGCTGGAATGTTGAGCATCTCAGGTCAGGGTATCAAGGTATGCCTTATAGCTTCCACCTATAAAAACTTTTATCTGTATATTGTGCTCGGGATTTTTCCCCCATGACTGAATTTTATGTCATATTGGTGGTCTTGAAGTGTCAGCATTCTAGAAAAGGTAAAACCAAAGATCAAATTTTTTTCTGTGGATTGTTTCGGTCACCTAAGAAATAATAACATTTAAAAAATGGTTTGGAAATAGGGAAAAAATTAGAATTTTATTTCTAAAACATTTTGAAACATTGGTTGAAACCCCTCAAAATATTCTGAAACACCTCAAAATACTCCGAAACACCTTGAAACATAGGCGTTTCTGGGTTCAACTACTGATTCATTTCGGTTTTCAGGGAAATGGCATTTGGTCCGTTTCAAAATGAAATTTTGATCCTTGGGTAAAACTACAATTTAGAATAACTCTCTAGCTAAGTGGCAACTGGAACAACATTGCTGTTGTTTGACATGAGGAACCTTAAAATCCCAGAAAATAACTTATCAAAAAAAAAACTGAGAAATGCTGTAAAAGATGGTTGTCCCTGCACCTGTGTGACTGGCACATGCAATTACTCAATCAAAGCTCAAAACGAGTGAACCAGTGTTGTCATTGTTTCTAGCTTCCAGGTTTTCATATCAATGGGATTTCTTTCAAATAAACACAAAAGTTAAGTTATGTTACATTGAGGGGATGACGAATGACCCAGACAGGGATCTAGCTACTACAGGTGTAAATCATTTAGTGGATGAACAATCTTCTAGTAATGCATGTATATACATGGAATTCTGTGTAAGATGCTTTTAATAAATTTCAGTGAAATTTGTTTGGTCTGTGTGCATGATTTGGTACATGTGCTCATTTGTTTATGAGTTGCTATTTTCATGGAAATACCTTTTGTTGAACCATTATGTACTCCAAAAACTTAAGTTGTTAGAGAGGAGGAGTGTAGCATAAGTATCTATCTAATACTACCTATCACTTGTGGCCCTCTTAAAAATGATGGAGAAATTGAAGACGATGTAATTCATAGAATTAACGTTGGTTGGCTTAAATGGAGGAAAGCTTTTGACATATTATGTGATAGAAGAATACTAATAAAATTAAAAGTCAAGTTTTACTGAACTGCTATAAGGACAATAATATTGTATAAGATGGAATGTTGGGCAACTAGAAAACAATATAATGACAAAATGAGGGCAACGGAAATGAGAATGTTAAAGTGGATGTGTGAAAAAATTAGAAAAGATTGAGTACGAAATGACTCTATTAGAGAAATGGTAGAAGTAGCTCCAATTGAGGACAAATTAAGAGTGAATAGATTAAGATAGTTTAGAAAAAATGATATAATTTCTTTTAATGGTACTAGGAATAGGAGGAGATCTAAATTAACATTGAACGAACTAATAAGAAAAAATATATAAATATTTAACTTAAATGAGCGCATAGCGCATGACCAACATGAATGGCAAAGATAAACTCATATAGTTGACTCCAAATAATTGGGACATAAGGTTTGGTTTGGTTTTCTTGTGGCGCCTCTTAGGTGGTCCGTCTACTTGATTGTTTTTTTGTTTTGTCTAATAAGGAAGGAGCCTTGGTGTGATTTGAGCTCAGGACATCTAGGCTCGGATACAATGTTGAACCACATTTACTCCAAAAGTCTATGCTGTTAAAGAGTAGTGTAACATAAGCATTTATCTAATACCTTCTTTAAATATTCACTACTCAGCCAATTTCTGACTAAAATTTAGTACTATCACTGCATTTAAGTAAGTTTGAAACTATTAGAAACAGTCAAAAGTCACCAGTTAATTCAACAAATATGCAGTCTGAACAAAATGTGTTTTAGCAAATTACTGAAAAAGGTTGGACGGTCAGTTTGTCATATTTGTTAATTTTGATATTCAATATAGGCCCCAGTTGGTTCTTTTTTTTGTTCAGATAACTCCACATTTTGTGTGTTATAGATCCGAAAGTGTGATTTTGTATGTGGTGCTCCTAGAGACTGTGTGGTCTATTTTGTGTTAAGTGAGATGGATGTGTTAATTCATAAGTGCTTCTTTACATTGCAATGGAGAGGTCCACTATTTTTGGATGTGGGTCTACATTCTTATCCTCATGTAGTTCCTGTATTTCATCAATCAATCTGAATTCTAGGTCATTTTGGTGATGCAGTTGGATGCCACAGGTAGACCAGATGAAAGTCTTCTGATGGAATTTGTAGGACCATTACAGCATGGTGCTGAAGAAAATGTGCTTGGAAAGGTGTTGTCTTTCTCTCTTCAAAAGGGGCACCTAAAAGCTAATGTGTGCTACCGACCACTACATTTAGCTAACCTGGAGGTTCTTGCTCTCTTTTTTACTGGTCTTTTGACTACAATTAATCTTTTTTCTTCTTTTTTGTAAGCTTGTCTATGTGGTATGATTGCAAAAACTAACTGAGTTTTCCACCTCTTGCAATCAGGTACGCCATTTGCCACTTGATGAACTGGAGCTGGCTTCACTTCGGGGAACAGTTCAACGGGTAAGCTTCCTTTTGGCATACCTGACTTTATTTTGGGAAGATCGCCTTTTTTTCACAAACCATGCCTCATCACATTTAGGATGAACATGAGAGTGTATGCATGGGGGAATATAAAACAAAGAGGACAAACCAGAAATGATAAAAATTGCTATGGGTTGCAAAGTGGTATTAGTTTGTTAGAGTTGGTGCTCAGAGTCTCACTCACTTTGTGTGTGCTTTGAATATTCTTTTACCTGTAATCCAACTCTTGGGCTTCCTTGATGAAATTATTAAACGTTAATTTTATTTGGTTTTGACTATTTATCTTGCATAGTGAGAGACACAATAGAGTTTGAACAAGATGGATGTTTGGGCTCCTTTTTATTTGCTTCTTTCTTTTTGGGTGGGTGGATGTTTGATTTCGTGACTTCATAGTAACCGGCCATTTACCCTGCTGCACCCACGAAGAGGCATCAAACTAGTCTTGGCATGATCTGATAGATAATGTGAAAAGTTCACTGAAACTTTATGTCAAGGGCATTGCTGTAGATATGATCGATTGAGCCAAAATAGTCTTTTACAGAATGAATTCAAATTTCTTGTAAATCGTAATTTGTTTTGAATTTGTTGTTCGGAGGTGTCCATCGTAAATGGAAGGAAATTCAAATGAAACTGAATAACAGATGTCCTTCTCTTGGCAGCAGGAGCTCTTTTCAGCTTTCTTTTTTTTAGATTAGTCTGTAACCCTTGTTATTAATCAGGAGACAATTGATATAAACTTCTATTCCACTGATTTCACCTATGTTTGTTTCTATTTTTTTTAGTGTAGGTTATTTTCATTCTTTTCCTTTTTTTGGTGGGGCTGAGGTTTTCGAAGTGCAGCGCTTGTTCACATCTTTCTCTTTTTGGACATTGTCATCAATTGGAAGTTGCCTCCATTTTTGTATGGGATTATGTGAACAGTAATTATGTACTGGATAATTTTTGCGAGAATCATATTGTGGAAGATTGATGATGATTTCATACGTAATTATTTATAGGTGATTTTTTTTAGTTGTCTATATAATCTTAATTGTAAATTCGTTTCTCAGGTGATTGTTGTTTTTTTTGCAGGCAGAACTTCAACTTAACTTTCAGAAAAGAAGGGGTCATGGAGTGTTATCTGTACTTCGACCAAAATTCAGTGGCGTGTTGGGCGAAGCTTTAGATGTGGCTGCTAGATGGAGTGGGGATGTTGTGAGTACCTAACCTAAGTTGTTTCTAGTTCAAAGCCTTTCTGTGAGCCTCCCAGTTGCTTGACCAGTCAGATAGATAATGAAAACATAAGAAGCAGAGGCTTCTATTTATTTACTGTTTTGCTTTAAGCTCGAAATGCCGTAGTTGAATGTTGAAAATAATGGAATAGTGAAAATTTACTTAATAGGACATTATGTCTGAAACATGTAATTGTGATTCTACGTCTATACCTTCATCCAATCCCCATTCTTGGCAGCCCACCCGCACCCCTGGGGCCTGGGGGAGAGATAATTTGGTGTTTATTTTTATGCTCTAAACAAGCTCGTAATTTTATGTTCCTTCCTGCTTTCCGTTTTCCCCCTTATTAAGGCATTTCTTTGCCTTCAATTGAGAATGGTTTTGGGGAGAATTTAATGTTTTTGTTCATGTTTTAATCAATTTCTATTTTTTTTTTCACTCCTGTTCAACTCTCTTTCATTTTTTCCCCTTCTTAAGGTTTGTCTTTGCCTTCAGTTGATGGTTGATGTCTTAAACTTTATTCTATCTGGTTTTATATAGGACTATAGGAGTACTGAACGAACCATTCGGTAATGTTTTATATAGGAGTACTCGGGGAACAATTCTTAAGGTGTTTATGTATACAGCTATGTATGTGTAGCATTCACTTATGGATGAACACATATATCACTTCTGGGAAAAAAGTAAGCAGACATGCTTTTACCTTCTACCATCTATGATTTTAATAATAATGGACAAGGACGTAAAAGTTGCTTTTGACTTATTTAACAAAAAAATTTCAACTAGATTTACTATTTAGTACTGTGGATTTATTTTGGCAGAACTATTATCTTTGTTGATAAGGAGGAAATTTGTGCTTTAGATTTTCACTTGGGCCATAGAAATTGGTCAAAATACACTGGCTACATCTACTGTACTGGTTTTCTCTCTAATGTCTCCAATTTATTCCTCACCTTCCAATTTTCACATTAAAAAAATTATGGAAACAAACAGAATGCCGGCATTGCTTCTTTAATTCTTCCCCTTTTTGGCTTGGTTGAGACATACTAATGATTTTATGTTTGTGAATGAGTTCTTCCCTGAAATTAATTTCTTTTTGGCGTATTGCTCCATACTTTTGTGTCAGGTTATTTAGCTGAGAACTACCCAAATTTGCTCCTGTACATATTATAACATTGCCCTTTGTATTCATCTAATTGCTGGTCTTTATTTCCTCCTGTAGATTACTGTTGAGAAAACTGTTTTGGAACAAAGCAATAGCCAGTACGAGCTTCAAGGTGAATATGTGCTGCCCGGCACCCGAGATCGAAACCCTTCGGGAAAGGAAAGAGGTAGCATGTTCCGAAGAGCAATGACAGGTCATCTTGGCAGTGTGATATCTTCCATGGGGAGATGGAGAATGAGACTTGATGTTCCTCGAGCTGAAATTGCTGAGGTGCTTCCACTTGCAAGACTTATTTCTCGAAGTACTGATCCTGCAGTTCAATCCCGATCAAAGGTTGTTCTCTACTTAAATGTGAAGGAAATCTTAACTGTCATGGTAGTTGAATGTGAGTAACTTATTAGCATATGGAAGCAGAGATAGACTCCAAGTATCCCATCCCAGGAGTTAGGTTTGATAGCAGCTAGCATCGTAGTCATATGATGGTCTTAGTAATATACTGAAGGTATAACTTTCATATTAACTTACCGAAAAGAAAAACATTTATATTAACCTGTATTATAAGAATTGAACTTGGAATTCATCTATTATTATCAACTCCATTTTCACTCTTAGGAAAGAGAAAAAGCAAAATTACAATTGTGGAAAGCCATCCAAACAGTTCTATATTTTGATGTGAACATTTTTAGTTTGCTATAATATATGCTGGTGTACAATTGGAAATTATGTTGTATTTGAAGGGTTTGGCTATTCTACGGGCAAATGATCTTATAAATTATAGGGATGTAGGTTTGAGTATGAGGGACACCCACTTTGTGCAAAGAATGCCCAAGGTTGGGTTTGTTTCCAGTCCCCTCCCCCAGCCCCCTGGATCAGGAAACTAAAAATGGGTAATGGCCTTGTATTGGCCTAATAATTAGCAGTAACAGTGATCAGTTGTGAGCACTGAATTTCATGCAGAAAAAAATTGTGATAGAAACTTGTATGTACTGTTTTATTTATTGTTGAGGAGGTTCAATGGAGAAAATGACACGATGAATTTAGAAATATTTTTCCTTTTTTTCAGTGATAGATGATTGGATAAAAATCCTTGTGCTTACTCATTGGTAGCCCTACCTTTACCACTAGGCTCAAGCACCAGTCCATGATGAATATGGAAATATTACAAAATGACATGTATACTTTCAGTTTGCTAAACGAAGTCCTCCAATTCTTGAAGTTTTTTTCACTATTGTCTCTTTTTATCGGATGCCCCCATGGGACCTTCATTGTTGTTTCCTTGTTGAATGAATTGTGATACTTGTATATGTTACAGTTCTTATTTTCTCTATTAGACATAAGTTAATTGGTGTGGGTAATAGTATAATTACCCAAGTATTACTCAGTTATAAATAAGAGTGTAGGGCAACCTAGCCTATACATGATTGATTATTTTCTTTCTTTGTCACTCTTCTCTCTTTTTCTCATTCTCTTCTTCCTCATTAACCCTAATATCACTTTTATAATTTCAACTGGATACAATCAGATAAAATCCTACCTGATCTATGATGAGTGCCTCGCTATTTTTTCAGCTTCATTTTCATACTTTTCTCTTGTCAGTATTGCCTTTCACTGACGTTATATTCTAACATGATTCCCTTTCCATCGAGTTTCTTTACTCTGTTTGATAGCTCTTTTGGATTCTAAAACCAGTACCGTGTGGGGGTAATATATTCAAATGGTTTGGAAGCTTTCCAATTAATAGTTTCTGTTTGCAAAGAGGTCCCAGAAAGTTAAAAAAATGAAATTTGTATGGGAGCTTGGAAGTTTAAGAATGAAGCTTGTAACGATTTAGAATTTCTGCATTCAAACTGGAATCTTTTGGGTCATTTTGTAGGCCATAAATATTTTTTTTTTAAAATTATCTAGTTTTGAGCATCTTAAATTAAGATTATTTGTTTGCTGGTAGAATTGGATTTGTCAAACTGAAAATATAGTCCTAGATAAGGCTGAACAGCCAAGGGGATCTCAGTTCCATAGTTCTACGCTGCGGTTGGCGTGTGAATGTGTTAACTTTTTTTCAAATTCATTTTCTGTGGGGACAACTTTTTCCACTGATTATAGGTGCTGATTCTGCATGCCTTGCTTAACTTATTTCCAGGACCTCTTCATACAAAGTTTGCAGTCTGTGGGTTTATATGGTGAAAGCCTTCAAAAGCTGCTTGAGGTATTTCCTGAAATAGTAATTCTATCCTCATAAGCTCCGCTAGATTCCTCTGGGTAAAGTTTTTGGAATGATATGTGATTTATGGTTACCTTTTTTCTTTAATCTGGTCGTGCAAATAAGACTTACTGTGGAGTGAAAATTTTAGTTTTCGAGGTTTCCATGTGGTTTTTTAACATTGCCTTGGTTAAATAACTTGTTCTAGGATATTCGGGGGCATTCTGTTCCATCTGATGAAGTTATATCTGAAGACTTCAATCTTCCAGGGTTAGCCGAACTTAAAGGCCGCTGGTGTGGCTCTCTAGATGCAAGTGGTGGAGGCAATGGAGACACAATGGTAAGTATCTTGGAAATCTTTCACAAAGCAATATAGTTTGGATTTCACATGTTAATTTGAAGCTGAAACACAAGCTATTAGATTTGCACATTGCAATTTTTTTGTCTGTCTGAAATTGGGGTCATTTAAAGGCTGTGTTTAGACCAATAACATTAAGGTACTCATCTCTCTTGCTATAAACTGAAAATTGAGCTTGCTGGGTTGCATGATTATCGTGAAATTGCGAGGTGATTCTGAATTCATATTTAATTGTTAGTCAATGATATCTTGATTCTGTTTATTAACTTGTTAAAGAAAATTCGCTCCTGCGTCCTGAGTCCTGACCAATTGTGCATGAAGGTTCTTCATTCGTTTTTGCCAGTCCACCTGAGCAATCGGAAAAGTGTGAATGCGCACTTCTAATATTTCTTTGATGGAAGCAAATGTGTGTGCGCTTTTGTATGAGTAGGATAAACATAAGCTATAATCTCTGTAAGACTACATAATTTACCTCTATGCTCTGCATTTGCAAAATACTCTTCTCTTTTGCATGGGAAAATACTAATATCATGTAGTTAATCTTGTGAGTCTGTTTGCTTCTTCCTGGAATCATATGTTTAAATATTTTCTTTTATAATCTTAATGCACCATAAATAGCTGGCAAAATAGAAAGTTCCGAAAAGAATTTGTTCAGTAGGAGCAGTGGAATTGCATTGTTTGTTAACTTCTCCGCCCTTCAGAATTTGTCCTCTAATTGTCTTTTTCATATTTGTATTTTTAGGCAGATTTTGACTTTCATGGGGAGGAATGGGAATGGGGAACATACAAAACTCAACGTGTTCTAGCAGCTGGTGCTTACAGCAATGATGATGGTTTGCGCCTTGAGAAAATTTTTATCCAGAAGGATAATGCCACAATCCATGCAGATGGGACTTTATTTGGGCCAAAAACCAATTTGCATTTTGCTGTTCTGAATTTTCCTGTTAGTCTAGTCCCTACTTTGGTTCAGGTTATCGAAACTTCAGCCACTGATGCTGTTCATTCTTTGCGGCAATTTTTAGCACCAATAAAGGGGATACTGCACATGGAAGGGGATCTTAGAGGAAGCCTTGCTAAACCTGAATGTGATGTGCAAGTAAGGCTCCTGGATGGTGCAATGGGGGGCATTGATCTTGGGCGAGCTGAAATTGTTGCCTCCCTAACCTCAACCAGTCGTTTTCTGTTCAATGCAAAGTTTGAACCCATTATCCAAAATGGCCATGTTCACATTCAAGGAAGTATACCTGTAACCTTTGCCGAAAACAACATTTTGGATGGAGAAAATGTGGAAAGAGACAAAAGTGAAGCAACTTGGATTCGTGGTTGGGGCAAGGAGAGGAGTAAAGAGTCTGCAGATGAAGCTAGTGATAAGAAATCCTTCAGAGAAAGAACTGAAGAAGACTGGAATACTCGGTTGGCAGAAAGCCTCAAAGATTTGAACTGGAACATATTGGATGTAGGAGAAGTTAGGATTGATGCTGATATTAAAGATGGGGGCATGATGTTGTTAACAGCTTTATCTCCTTATGCCAACTGGCTCCATGGCAATGCTGAAGTTATGCTCCAGGTAGTTCAAGTTTGTAAAATCTTGGATTGCTTTATCGTCGTAATACAACAATTTCTGTTCAATTAAAACAGGGATATAGTAGGTTCAAATGTTCGATTTTGAAATACTTTTCTAATGTATGTGGTTTGTTTTAAAATAGGTTAGAGGTACAGTTGAGCAACCAGTGCTTGATGGATCTGCATCTTTCCACAGGGCAACGATATCTTCTCCTGTACTCCGTAAACCACTCACAAATTTCGGTGGCACAGTTCTCGTGAATTCGAATAGGTTATGCATTAGTTCTTTGGAGAGTAGAGTAAGTAGAAAGGGTAAACTCTCCTTGAAAGGAAACCTGCCCCTCAGAACCAGTGAAGCATCCCTTGGCGATAAAATTGACTTGAAATGTGAAGTACTGGAAGTGCGGGCAAAGAATATTTTAAGGTGCCTTATCTTCTCTCCAACACAGGACATAAGAAATAGTTGGTTTTGGTCACTCACTGGTCGCATTTATCTTGGTTTACAGTTGGGTGAATTTTTTGTCTTGATGTTTGACATTTGAATGAGATCCTTCTTATTTGGTTTTCTGCTCTCGGTCGCTGTTCTTTATATATGTATGGTCCAATACCTGGTGCAGTGATGAAAGTGTTGTACTAACAACCTGAAGGTTGCGGAATTGAATGCGAGGACAACCAACTTGTGCACATAATGGCGAAGATTAAGTTTTGTACCCAATCCAACCCCAACCCTCCAGCCCCTCTCAGCACCCTCAGTTTGTGTGGACCAAACTATGACCCTTCATGAATATATCAGTGCTTTGTTCACCTAAAGTGATTGCCTTTTCCTTTTTCCCCCCTTCACAACTCTCTCTGTGATCTTTTCATCATGTCTTAGAATGAGATTCATATCTTTTCATGTTTTACCTTTACACTGTGTCCTTGAAGAACTGACGTGTCTTTTTATTTTCAGCGGTCAGGTTGATACTCAGTTGCAATTAACTGGTTCCATATTGCAACCAAACATTTCTGGCAAGATTAAGTTGAGCCATGGAGAAGCATATTTACCACATGATAAGGGTGGTGGAACTGCTCCTTTTAATAGAGACGGATCAAATCAATCGAAGCTTCCAAGTGGCGGTTACAATCAAGCGGTTGCTTCAAAATATGTCTCACGTTTTCTCAATTTAAAGCCTGCTGCTTCAAGAGCTACATTTCTACAACCATCAGGTAAGTTTTTGTATACTATGTCTATGCCCTCATATGTAGGTCCGTAAACTATAAAGGAATCAAAATCACTTTGCCCTCATATGTAGGTACCTACCTTGTACCATAAGTTTCAATGTCAGTTTCCTCTCTTGGATTTTGAATTGTTTCTAGTTATCTAGGGGCTTGAAAGTTAAATTTGATGCTATTTGCAAATATCCTCTCACAAGTTTTTCTTGACAAGAAACAATAAATTACTGATGAAATTGAGAGTACAAAGGCAAAGTAGTACTAGGAATCCTTTAGAAGAAAAAGGAGTACCCCTACAAGAAAGAATGGACCATCCATATAACCCCTACGATCACAAATCCAATAACCCTTTCTTTAACCACAGTAAGAGCTCATGGGGTATAGTATAGTCTGTAAGTCATAACTTCCATTTTAGTGGAGTATCCATTCTTAGCTAGTAATGGGCTTGTTGATCAGCAAATCTGGATGTCCACTTGGCCTATGCCTCTAAAGCGGCAAACAGTTTTATGGATATGAAACGGAGAAAATGCATTAAAATCTAAAATCAAGATTACATGAAGATCTTAGCCAACCAAAGGAAAACAAAAATACAATCCAAAAGAAAATACATTAGAAGCTCTCCATCCGGCCATTACACTAAAAAGTGGGATTCCCTTGAATTCTTTAGAATCCAAAGCTCAAAACTATGCAATACAATGAATATGGCCCCATAAACCATCCATTTCTTCGCTTCTGTCTTAAAAAATTATTGAATTTTTTTTCTTCCAGCCATAATAGCGCAAAGTCCACAAAGTCATTCCTTTATCACTCTGCCCAAAACCTCTCAAAAGCTCAACAAACAACGATGTGGATAATGCAGGAAGCACCCATTTCAATTCTCCCAAATAAAACAATTTATAGCACAATGACAAAGCAATAGGACAATGTAGAAACAATTGATCAATGCTCTCACAATCACCTTTACACATAAACCACCATTGAGGGAAAATACAAGTTTGAGGTCTCCTCTGAAGCAAATCATTAGTATTAAGCTTCCTATGTGCAATAGTCCATGCAAACACTTGCACTTTAATAAGTACCTTAGCTTTCCAAATCATGATTGAAGGCTAAAAACAAAGGACTAGAAGAATCATTAGTGAAATCCTCGAAGAAGGATTTACGTGAAAATATACCCGAAGACTCATAAATCCACCTTCATTTATCAAGAGTTTTCGAATTATTAAGAATAACAAGCAAGGCTAGGAACTCCTCCATATCCCTATAATCAAGATTCCTACAAAACCAAAGTCATAAGAATATGGGTGATCATAAGACTGAATCAAAGATGCTATAAAAGCATCTTTATAGCGGAAACAAATAACATAAAGATAACTCCCCACCCTTATATCCTCCCAAAATGTATGTTTCCCCATTTTCCAATATAAACTGGATATTTTGAGAGTACCTTGTCAATCCCAGAATTTCCATGGGCACCTGAAACTTTTCCTTTCAACCTTATTCGAGTCCCATCAATTGGCCTGCAATCTATATTTGCTCTTGATGGTTAAATGCCACATAGAATCTTGTTCCAAAGGAAACCTCCAAAGTCATTTGCCCACTAAAGCAATATTCTTACCTTCAAATTACGAATTGAGGGATTGCCTTTATGCCGAGATTTGCAAATAGTCCCCCATCCAATCAAATGGCCCTTTATGTCCTCACCACTTCCTTCCTTGAAAAAATTCCTAATCTTTTTTTCAGTTTTTATAGCAATCTTAATTGACTTCCTAAATAAAGATAAGAAATAGGTAGGAATATTAGCTAAGACATGTTGCACCATTGTTAACATACCCTCCCTAGAGATAAAAGCTGTCTTCCATCCATCTGATCTTTTTTCTACTCTTTCAATTACTGGATTGCCAAAAGATAAAGACATGGGATTCCCACCCAATGGCAAACAGAAATACGTAGGAGACCATTCCCCCACCCTAAATCCCATAAAGCCCGCCACTATACTAATCTTATCCAAATGTGAATTTATACTCACAAGGACACTCTTGTAGATATTAACCTTTAGTCTTGAAACAATGTCGAACACCTCCACAATATTCTTAAAATTTAAAATTTTCTCCACATCCCCAATAGAAAAGAATATTAGGTCATCGACAAATTGCAAATGAGACACCTCTATATTGTCTTTTTCCACAACAAAACCTTCTACCAAATTCTCTCTCTGTTCTCTTTTCATAATCTACTTAACCCATCTACAACTAGAGTAAACAAAAAAAAGGAGATAAGGGACCACCTTATCTCGGTCCTCTAGAAGCTAGAAATATACTACTAGGTTTCCCATTAAGCATAATGGAGAAATTCATAGACTGTAAACATCCTATCATCCAACTCCTCAATTTATCTCCAAATCCTTTCACCTCCTATACATCCACATGATTATCAACCTTTTAAAAACTAATTTTTAAGACAAAACCTTCCTTATCTCTTAACTCTAAAATCTTCCACCACCTCATTAGCCACAAGAACCATTTCTTTATCTTACACTTCCCAAATCAAACTTGTTAAGTTTAGAGGATTAACACAATATTAGAGAGAAACAGAGAGGTTAAAAACTTAACCTAACTCACATACATATTTGTATTTATAGTTAACCTACAATAATAAGAATTACACATACACCTTCTTACTATTAACAATTTACACATACTACTCTACTATTCTTAACACTCCCCCTCAAGTTGGACTATATATATCATATAATTTAAGCTTGGAACAAATAGCTGTAAGACGTGACTCGATGCTTTGGCAAACATATTTGCAAGCTGATCTTCAGATTTTACAAATAGAGTTGTAATCTCTCATCTACTATCTTGTCCCGAATAAAATGACAATCAACCTCAATATGTTTGGTTCTCTCGTGAAACACAGGATTGACAGCTATATGGATAGTTGTCTGGTTGTCACAGAACAACTGTAACGGAAGTTGAACTGAATATCCAATTTCCTGGAGAAAGTGTAGTAGTCAAGTCAACTCACTCGTCGTATGTGTCATTGCCCTATACTCAGCCTCAGCACTGGATCTTGCTACCACAGGTTGTTTCTTACTTTTTCATGAGACAACATTACCTCCTAAGAGAGTACAATAACCAGTGGTTGATCTCTGATCCGAAGGAAAGCCACTCCAATCAGCCTCTGAGAAACCTTCCACTCTAAGATGTCCATTAGCTCGATATAACAATTCAAGTCCAGGAGCTCGTTTGAGATATCGCAAAATACGAGTAACTGCCTCCCAATGTAGTACTCTAGGACATCCCATGAAGTGACTTACTATACTGACTGCATAAGAAATATCCAGTCGAGTAATAGTGAGATAATTAAGCTTCCCAACCAATCTGCGATACCGACCCGGATTCTCAAATAATGCACTATCATCCATTAATAATTTCTGATTCGGATCCATTGGAACATCAATCGGTCTACCACCCAGCAAACCTGCTTCCTCAAGCATGTCAAGTACATATTTTCTCTGGGATAAATAAATACCCTGTTTAGATCGAGCCACCTCAATACCCAAAAAATACCTGAATTTTCTCAAATCTTTAGGATAAAATCGATCCTGTAAGAATATTTTTAACTTGGCAATCCCCTCAGAATCATTTTCAATAATCACAATATCATCTACATAAACCACCAATAGGACATATCCAACATCTGTCTGTCTATGAAACACAGAGTGATCTGTCTGACATCGAAGAAAACCAAACTCTAAAATTGCATCTGAAAACTTACCAAACCATACTCTCAGTGATTATTTCAAACCATACAAAGATTTCTTTAACCGACATAGACTCTTACCATACTCCTCCTGAGTAGTAAACCCAGGTGGCTGTTCCATGTATATCTCTTCAACTAAGTCACCATGTAAGAAGGTATTTTTGACGTCTAGCTGAAATAAAGGTCAATCAAGATTAACAACCAAAGAAATCAAGATACGAACAGAGGAAATTTTGACAACAAGAGAAAAAGTCTCCTCATAATCAACACCATAAGTCTGAGTAAAGTCTTTTGCAACAAGTCGGGCTTTAAGACACTCAACAAAATCATCTGAATGAAATTTAGCAATATACAGCCAATGACAGTCAACAGTTCGTTACCAGGGGGTAAAGGAACGAGATCCCAAGTCCCATTATGATGTAAAACATCCATCTCCTCCTCCATAGTTTTTCTCCAACCTGGATCAAATAATGCATCCTGTAAATGCTTAAGAATAGATATAGCAGATAATTGGGAAGTAAAACAGGAGAAGACAGGAGACAAGGCATCATATGAAACAAAATGAGAAATAGGATGGTTAGTAACACACGAACGAGTACCTTTGCAAAGAACAATAGGTAAAGATTCTAAATTACCTGATGTATCAGGATCAGAAGGCGGCAAGGAAGACAGTACGGACACCTCAGTTGATGGGCGAGGACGGCGAAAGTAGACATGGAGAGGTAAAGTAGATGGTAACACAGTGGACAGCGGGATATCTGAAGATGAGGAAAGAGATGGTGGTACAGGAAATGATCCAATGTCCAGATCCAAAGGCTAAAAAGGTGCTGGAAAGTATGGAACAAATTCTTCAAATGTGACATCGACACTAGTAAAGTATAGGTGCAAAGAAGGACTGTAGCAACGATACCCTTTCTGCGTGCGGGAGTAACTAAGAAATACACATTTGGTAGTTCGACGGTCAAGTTTGTCAAACCCAGAGTCCAAATTGTGAACATAACAGACACATCTAAAAATCTTAGGAGTCCGAAAAAATAAGGGCTTATCAGGAAAAAGGACGGAATATGGACTTTGTCCATTTAACACAGAAGATGGTATACGATTAATAAGATGACAAGCAGTAAGAACAATATCACTCTAAAAATATCGGGTGATATTTATCTGAAATAACAGGGTACGTGTGACTTCTAACAAATGACGGTTCTTGCGTTCAGCAACACCGTTCTGTGGAGATGTGTAAGTACAAGAAGTTTGATGAATAATGTCAGCTTTACTAAGATAAGCTGAAAAAGGATCATATTCATATTTTCAAGCATTATCAAAACGTAAAATACGTATATGACAACTATACTGAGTTTTTATTTCTTTATGAAAGGTCTCAAATATAGAGAATAATTCAGACCGAGCTTTCATCAAAAACAACCAAGTTACACGAGAGTAATCATCCACAAATGACACAAAATAAGGATATTTATTAGATGCAATATTCTTTATTGGACCCCATACATCAGAATGTACCAACTCAAATGGACTAGACACACAATTATTGACTCTAGACTGAAATGACACACGGTGATTCTTACTGAGTTGACAAGCTTCACAAGACAAAGACAACACATAACTAAGACTGGGAACTTGGCGCTTCAAATTCTGGAGAGAGGGATGTCCAAGATAACAATGCCATTGAAAATGAGACAACGAGGTCTGTAGAGCCCGAGTAGGTGAATAAAAATCAAGTTAATATAGGCCAC